AAGAAAAAATATTAAAAAATAGATACTAGAATCTTAATAAACTTTATAAAAATAAAAATAATATAATAGTAACAGTTTAATAAAATATTTATAATTGTAAGTGTTAATCTAACTATAGTATATTATATAAAACTACGTCAACTATATATAAAATATAAAAAACTTAAATCTTTTGTTAGAATAAAATATTTTTTTTTTTTGAATTTCCTACTGCTTGGTCACTAGTGGGCTGCAGCTGGCGGCTGTTTTATTAGTTCATATTTCAAGTTCACGGAACCTTCTATCAGGACCCCATCTACATTTTTACATTGTTTGTGTATATTTACAGTACTATCTATATACTAATTTTTGTGTTCCTATTACCCCAGAATTTCACCAGGATTATTCCTAATAGGGGATTTCTTTGTTCTATTATTATCCTCAGCCTCTTAATCATTGTGGCCTTCTTATGTCAGGTCCATCGCCATTTAAGGATCTGGGTACCAAAGATCTTTCTATTTTCGTAATATGCCATCTGATGTGGTTAATCCATAATCATAGTTCTAACACAGTTTACATCCCCCATTGGACTTGAATCGGCAACCTTGCAATTAGTGCCCTGGGAGCGTAACCACTTCGCTATCGACCCACAGGTCTAAATAAAATAATTTTAAAGGTATTAATAAAGATTAGAAACTTAAATAGTATAAATATTAAAAGTTTTATATATTTTTGACTATAACTTTAATATATTATACCAAACTGAATAAAATTATCTGTATTAAATTCAACTTATTAAGATAATTTTAAAGAGTACAAAATTATATAATTTTGATTACTAAATTACAAAATTAAGATAATTTTGATGAAGTACTAATTTTAATATATATGACTTAATTCTAATTAGTTTTTATTACTATATTAGAAATTTATTATTTTTATATTTTTATTATTTTTATTAAATCTATCATTTCTATAATTTTAGAATATTTATAATATTTTTTATATATATTATATATATATAAGGGTGAGTCAATAGAAAAGAGACAAAACATTTTTAGTAAAATTTTTTAAATTTTTAAATTTAAATAACTCAACAACTATTTAATCAAATCTGCTAAAAAATTTTTTATTTTAATCTTAAAATTATATAGAATTAAAATAAAAAGGATTTATCAAATTTAATAAAATAGTTGTTAAGATATTTAAGCTTAAAGTTAAAAAAGCTTTTGCTTAGAAAAAATTTGTCTTTTTTCTATTGACTCACTCCCATATTATATTTATTATATTTTTTAGTTTATATATATATATATATTTAAATATTAACAGTAAGATTATACTTTTAATTTTATTGAAATTTAATTAAACTTTTTATAAAAAAAAGTTTGCTTTTAAATTATATATAAAGAATAAAGACTCAGACATATAATTTGTGATTTAAACCTATAAGAATGACCAAGGCACACCTAGATTTGAATAATAATATAAGAGAAAGAAGTATAATATTTAATCTATTAGATAGTCCAAAGATTAATTTTAGTAATACTTTATAATATTGAAATAAAAGATAAAGGTAAACTAGAAGAAGAACTATAAGTTAAATTAGTAAAAAATATAGTATGAGGCTATACAAAATATGAAATACAATATAAAATCTATATTTGTTTATATATCTATTAGTTTAAATAAAGAAGATGTTTGATAGAAAGAATAATAGCAGTATAATAAAAAATAGAAGTATTATGAATAATAAAAATAAGATTAGTAAAAACTAAACTAAATAAGATAAAAATAAGAAAAGATATATATAAAAAATTGTAAAAATTTTAGTATATAAATCAGAAACAAGATTGCAAATATATCAAGAATAGTTGTATTTAAAATATTATTAAGAAAATTGGAAATTAAATAGTAGATTATTTAGAATAAAGGGTAAATAGACCAATAAAATAAAAAACTAATTTGTTTGTATTAATAACAAAAAAAAAGAAAAAAAAGAGTTTTATATATAAAAAGTATAAGAAACAGAAAGTTCATTTGTGAGAATTTTAATCTAGAAGGTTTTTAGAATAAATGAATAAAAGTTATAGGCAAAATTAGAAATTTTTTGATATTCTTAATATAAAGCTATATACCTTTTCAGTTGATATTAGATACAATAATAGACTATTGTTAAAAATGATATTGAAATATTTAGAATATTATAATGTAAACTTGACATATAGTTTAAATAGAGTATTGAATAGGAATTTTAATAAAAAATTAATTAATAAAAAAAATATAGTTAAGATTATAAGGATTATTAATTAAAAATATTAAATAAGATAATATTTGGTAATTATAGACAAGTTGATTAGTAAGGTTGTTAAATAAGTTATTTTAATATACAGTAATTTTGTAAAAAATAAGCTGAATATTATAAGCTTTGATAAAATTGATAAGAGTTTGCAAATAGAGAAATATAAAATATAAGAGTAGATACTAATTAGTAAATATTATGATATTTGAAAATTATTAATTGTAAGTTAGTAAATATATAGACAAAACAGTATCTAGGAGCAATAATAATTGCTAAGAGGATAACAAGAATTTCAGTTTTAAAAGAATATAGTCAAAGCTTAATTTGTATTTAAAATAAATTAATAGTTGTAGGGTTGTTAACTTGTATCCAACCTATATTTATAGAGCATTAAGAGATACTAAAATTAATAATAGAACCATCAGTATAGAATAAAATAAATAAAAAGTTGTAATTTAAGTTGACAATATAATCTGAAGATTGTTAAAAAGTTGACATTATTCAAAAATAAAAGATAGTTATAATAAATTAATTGTAAATAAATAAGGAGATAGAATATATAAAAGATATTGAAGAATAACAGAATATACAATATCAAGAAAATTTACATAAAGGTTAAGAGTTTTGTTAAGATTAATGTGACAAAATAACTTAGTAACTAGGTTAGTAAGAATAAAAATAGTATATTTGTTAATAATTGTATTTGAATTAAGATAATATTTAATATATGATATAGTAGTAAAGAGAAAAGTAAAATAAAAATTAAAGAACTAGGAGTTTTTATATATATTAATACTACTATATATAACATTTATTAGTAATAGAATAATCTTTATTATACTTATTTATATATGTAAAATATTTATAAAAATACTGCTTTCTTGTTTTTTAAAAAAAATTAAATATTTTTATACATTTTAACAAATAATAAATAAATATAATTCTTAGTATTTTCATATATTATTTATTGTCATCTTGTTTTAAAATACTAATTATTATATATATTATTAAGTCTTATATAAATATTATTTGAAACTGTTAAGTTACAGTCTTCATACTATAATTGAATAACTTCTATTATTATTATTAAAATAAAAAATCTTCAAGTTAACAATAGACTGTGCTTTAAAGATATTTCTATAATACAAGTTGGATTGCATATGCAAAAAATTTAAATAGACAAGACCCATAAATAACTTATAGGTATAACATCTAATATAAAACCTATATAATAGTGTATAGGCAGACTATTTAAATTAGACACCAAAAATGTACATGTGACTAGTTGTAACCTTTTATGTAAAAGAACTTTTAAAAGTTTTTGTATTCATAATAACTTGAATAAAAATTGCATCCAAACACAGTGACTTTAATACAAAAAAAAAATTAATATCTAATAAAGAATTAAGACAAGATCCCATTCTATAAAATATATAGATGCCTTTAAACATCTTTAGCCAAAGATGCTCAGTTTATGCATCTCTGGCAAATATATTACATGGCGCATGTTTTCGCGTAGCACAACGGTTACACGAAGTACGATTCTCCGACGAAGCAAACCAAAACCTATGTTGAGGCATTAAGTAAAAATGTTGAAAAGATAATTTACTTATAATACCTACCCTCACTATAACCCTCACCCAGACTCTAACCCAAACCTTAGCTTAATTAAAATTATTTACCCGGACATAGATGCCCATAATTTCCCAATATATATATATATATATATTTTAAATCAATTTCATAAACTTGTAAATTTATTTAAAATAAATTCTACTAAATTTGATTAAGTTTCTGCTAAGTTATTTTTGTTTAAAAAAAGATTAAATAAAAAATATTTGGTGCGTTTCTACTGACTCACCCATATGCTAGACATGAAGGTTATTGGTCATTAAATTCATATTGTGAACTTTGCTAACAAATAACCCTTTGGGACTATGATTTACATAATCCCGAAAGATCATTTTATTGACAAGATTCTGTGATTTCAACGAAACATCTTCTGCATTTTTTATAGATGCTAGAGTTGTTCTTGTTCTTCATTCTGACCATATGATCACTTCTAACTATTATTTTATTTACCATAAAATTGTTAACAATATCTTGAGTATTTAAGTTTGTTAATATTTATAATATAAATTTTTTTTTTTTGACCAAATTAATGTCTATTTCATTTGATTCTGAATACTGTTGATATTTATTACAATGTAATTTATTAATACATAAAAAAAACATCATTAAGAATATTTCATTAAAAAACCAATTTTAACTTAAACATAAATTAACATAATTACACAGAATATATATGTTGTAGGTTGGCTCGAAGCATTAAAGATGTTCACTTACATTTAATATTATAGATTACAACCGCTAAATTAGAGCATACAATAACATTTGTCCGGTTATTGTAAAACAGACTACATTCTTGTGGCTTTTCGTACACTAATAATCAATGTTTAAGCTTTTAATATTCTGTTGATCCCAGTGGTATAATTTTACTCCCCTTATAGACAATATCAAGTATTCTATTTTACATTATAAGTGATATGTTTCATTCGACAATTTCTTGATTATTTTACAATATAAAGCAGACCGGTCAATGCTACTTTCGAAATTTCAACACATGTATAACTATTGAATAGCAATTCTCAACTCTTGTAGCTGAAAGAATTTTAATCCAATATCAACCTTTTAAAGTTCCTATATGCGTATTAGTAGGATCATGTGGTACTGCGATAATAAGTTCGTAATTGGGTGTGAATAAATGTTTTATGTCTAGCAAGTGTATTTTTTCAAAAACTTACGCTAATTTGTTTTAATAAAAAATTCTTGGATTGACATTTAAGCTTGAAAACTTTTTCAAAATACAGTACGATTCTTTAAATACTTATATTTATTTAAGATCCGAAGTTGACTTAAGTTGTTTCTGGATTCGAATCCACAGAATTCCAAACCAACCTATAACATATATACAGGTTACCCCCGTTAATATCAATCCTATCCCGATGTTATCAACCATCGCATATATCAACATAATTGTCTAATCCAAATGGTTGATATTAACGGGAGTAACCTGTATTTGAAAAGACAGTAACTTAACTGTGTATAGAGGGAGAAAGGTAGACATACGTATGCATATACATTATGTACGCATTTTTATAATACTGTGCTACAATGATAAAGCTTTCGTTAGGTACATATGTATGTATAACTGGCTTTTTTTTTTGCAATTTACATACATACGTATATTAAAAAAACATTGGGACAATGTTACAAAGAATGCATCTAACAAATTAAATGTTTTATAGAGGATCATATTCATTTGACGATCGATAAATTTCTCCTTTTTCCTTAAATGAACTGTGAGTAGTTTTTTTATTTTAAAGATTTTCTGTTGCAGGTTATAGAATCTTGATCGTCTTTGGGGCAAACAGTGCTAATCCTAAAAGAAACTAATTTGTATAATTTTTTGTAAAACTAGTGTACAAGCGAGAATCTGTATTGCCCCGAATTTAATCTTGTAATATGTAGGTTAAGATTTTCTTTTAATATTTATACCTTCACGCGTCAACCTAAAACCATGATTATCTACTCTCTTTCCTGAAAAATTCTAGTCCTTTGTTTCTAACTGTTGTTTAATTCGTACTTGATAACTCGTGATGGTAGGTAATCGTTGATTTTTTAAATAATAAACTTTATTTATGAATTTCTAATCGAGAATTATACACTTTTTCGCATTACAATGGATTTTTTACATATTTTGAAAGAGTTCCTCAATTCTGGCAAATCCGGAGGACTACTATGTGAAACAAGATAGGATAGGTATGATATTAGCAACAATTTAATCATTTCTTGAAATCATTTGTGCATTTCTAATGCCAACATTTTTTCCTATTGCCTTAAACAATGGTACATAACAGGAAAAGGATCTTTTGGTGAAGTATTCAAAGGGTAAGACATTAGCAGATAATTCAAATCACCATAATGGTTCTTTAAATTGTTTACATTTACTAGTCAGGTTCAACCTTAAAAATGTTTATGGTTGTTGTTAGAAAAGAGCTTTTTTTGCATCGTTATAAATGTTATTTTATCGCATTTTTAGTTTCGATAAGAAAACAAAAAAACTGGTAGCAATCAAGATAATTGACCTTGAACATGCTGAAGATGAAATTGAAGATATTCAACAAGAAATAAACATTCTTTCGCAATTGGATTCACAGTATGTCACTAGGTATTATTTATTGTAATCCCATTTACGTACTGGACATTTTTTTATTTAGCTGGTGCATTAAATGTGTTCTATTATAATAAGATATTACGGTTCTTATCTCAAAGGCACCCATTTATGGATCATCATGGAATATTGTTCTGGAGGATCTTGTTCAGATTTAGTAAGTTCCATAATAATTGCCTATTTATGTAATATCTACTAATTATATACCTTATTTATATATTTACTTTAATAACGTTAAAGATGAAACCTGGTGCTTTAAGAGAAGAATACGTAGCAATCATATTACGGGAATTGTTAAAAGGGTTGGACTACCTTCATTCTGAACACAAACTTCACAGAGGTTTAATTTTCTCATTATCAGAAATTGCTTTAAATTTTAAGTTTTGTTCTCATCGAGCTTTTTTTTTTTTTATAGATATAAAAGGTTGGAAATAATTTTAAAATCCACAAAATTAGGATTTTTATTATAAAAAAGGAATATTATTGATTACTGAGTTTATATCACTTTATAGCGGCAAATATTCTTTTAAGTTCTAATGGCGATGGTATGTATTTTATAAAATTTCATAACATCCGCATATTTTCTATCGAAATTATCTAATTTTGATCCATAGTAAAGCTAGCAGATTTTGGAGTTTCTGGACAGGTCAATATTATCATTCCGTTTACTTGAAATTTTCTATGACAATGTATATCTAATATGAATCTTAACCGCAGATCACAGCAACGTTGACAAAGAAGAATACGTTCGTTGGAACACCGGTAAGTGTAACCCAGCGATAATCTTTAATAATATATTTGTGGTTCATATAAATATTATACGATAGTTTTGGATGGCACCTGAAGTCATCAAACAATCAGGATATGACTTTAAGGTAAATAATGAAATTCTATTAATTATTTCATAAACTTCATAGTCACTATGTTAATATTTATTACGTATTATCTTAGGCTGATATCTGGTCTCTGGGAATAACTGCATTTGAACTTGCAAAGGGCGAACCTCCTTACGCAGATCTTCATCCGATGAAAGTTCTTTTTCTTATTCCTAAAGATCCACCACCTTCTTTAGAGGATGGCCTATATTCTAAACCGTTTAAAGAATTTGTCGCTTTATGCTTGGACAAAGACCCAAACAACGTATGTATTGCATTTAATATATTTATATATAATCAATTGCAGTTGCTTGATTTATACCCTGATTGCTCTTGATAAAAAAACAAAACAGCGGCCAACTCCAAAAGAGCTGCTTAAACATAAATTTATTAGAAGTGCCAAAAGGACTTCCTATTTGACAGAATTGATTGAACGTTACCAAAATTGGTTGGCAGATGGTGGTGACCAGCATGATTCCGATGGATCGGACTATTCTGAGAATGGGTAAACTTTTTTTTTTACTTTATTTCTGACCTATTTTTAATTTCTTTTTACGATCAAATTAATTTTTTCTTTTTTTAGTGACAAAAATGTTGCAGATACAGATTGGGAATTCCCCAATTCAGGTTCTCCTACGTCATCGGATGATGAAACTTATTCTGGAGATAATGCCACAATTGGACCAGCTAAAGGAAAACATGCTATGGTGTTTATTATATTCAAACACAATTAAATGCAATTTGTCTATACTTTATATTTGTTAAACTCCTTTTTTTTTGACGAACTTAATATCGAATTAGGTATCAAAAGCTAAGAACTCTGGCTATGACACTATAAAATATGTTAACGTGGAAAGTGTGGAATATTATGATGATACTGACCAAAACCATGTTGAAATTTCTCCTGTGAGCGGTCCCGCGGTTTTCGATGAGGTTATTGTACCTTCTATAGAAAATGTATGAGAATTCTAAATGCACAAAGCTCTTTCGATTGAATTTTTTTTTAAAAAAAATTGATATCTTCTGAAATTGTTTTCTAATGTTTTGCACACTAGCTACGCCAAAATGCGCCATCCAAAAAAGCCCAGCTCACTCTTGATATCTTGAAAAAGGCTTTTGAAGATGCAGAAAGAGAAGATCCTGGTATATCTGAAAAAATTATGCATGCTGTGTTCCAAAAATATGATGAAATGACACCTTAAATTTTTTGGTAATAACGATAACCTGATAATTATTATTATTTTCTTGTGTAAATAATATGCCTTATTTATAGGCTATTATTTATTTTTTATTAATACAGATTTTAGATTAGTTATATATGATCCGAACTGTGACCAAATTATTTTATTTATTTTCTTGACAACCTACAGTATTTAGAATTAATAAAAAAGGAAGAGTTTCATCCGTGTTTTGAGATCGTCAATCGACATTTCACGCATAAAATAATTTTTTATTAGTCTAAAAACCAAATCCGTATGATACAAACCGATTTTAAAAGTCGTAAGCAAGGTTTGCAATGGGGCTCAATAGAGTTGCGAATGGAGCCAATGGAGTTCTGAATGGAACCAATGGATACTAGTTTTTTGAGCTCCATTCACGTAACCATTCCGTTTCCAACCCTGGTCGTAAGTAATTAAAATTTTGGAAAACTAACTAATCAATCAGTACTTTGCCGATGATTAGTCTTAATTCCTGTTATGATTTTTTTTAAAAAAAATTATATCTCCTCGAAGAATAATGAAATTTCTCGAAAAAAGAGCGTAATGATAATCGAAGCATATCTTTGACACATGTATAATTAGTTTAAAATTAAAAACAATTTTAGCTAACACACCCTGTATGAATAATAAACAAGATAATGTTCTAATAAGTAATCATTTATGGCACTCTTTTAGAACCATCACATATGGTTAATTCTGTTTAAGTAAATGATGCGTATTTTCAGATTTGTTAAATATTCATCCAAAATTTTTCACAATAAGCCATCTTTCACGAACAGAAGAACATGAGAGTACAAATAAAGGAGACTTTCGCTTTTCTAACAAAAATGAAAACTTAAAACACCATATTTTTTTATTCATACATCTACGAACATGCGTTTAATGACAATGTAGACATTCCGGTTCATAAAATGGTGCCAAAGTTCTAGAATTTGGTCAATTAAAATAAGAAATAACTTATACTAAAATTTTGTAAGAATTTTTTTTGTTAGAGTTTATAAAATAGGTTTATAATTAACTATCTTTAAATTTATTCTCTTTAAGGGTTGGGCACGTAGATCATTTATATATATATGGGGTCTTTGCCTTGAAATGACCTTATGGGACATAGTAAATCATATGATCCAAGCTTGATTTTCAAGACAAAGACCCCATATATTGGTCATCTCATTAAGCATGATACACCAACTTGATACATTTGAATTAAAATGTAATTACACAAAATTTTACATATTAACTTGTAATTAAATAAATAT